CTACGCACACGCAAGATCATGGTGATGGCATAGCAACGAGAGGGGAGAGTGTTGTCCACGTACCCTCGTAGACCGTAAGCGGAAGCGTTATGACAACGCGGTTGATGTAGTCGTACGTCTTCACGATTCGACCGATCCAAGCACCGAACGTACGGCACCTCCGTGTTCAGCACACGTTCAGCTCGATGACGTTCCCCGGGCTCCAATCCAGCAAAGCGTCGGGGATGAGTTCCGTCAGCACGACAGCGTGGTGACGATGATGATGTTCTACCGGTGCAGGGCTTCGCCTAAACTCCGCGACGATATGACCGAGGTGGAATATGGTGGAAGGGGGCACCGCACACGGCTAAGGAACGATCCGTAGATCAACTTGTGTGTCTATGGGGTGCCCCCTGCCTCCGTATATAAAGGAGTGGAGGAGGAGAGGGCCGGCCCTCTCTATGGCGCGCCCTAGGGGAGTCCTACTCCCACCGGGAGTAGGATTCCCCCTTTCCTAGTCCAACTAGGAGTCCTTCCAAGTAGTAGGAGTAGGAGACAAGGAAGGGGAAGAGGGAAGAGAAGGAAGGAGGGGGCGCCGCCCCTCCCCCTAGTCCAATTCGGACTAATTAGTGGGGGGGGGGGGCGCGCGGCCTGCCTCTCCCTCTCCCCTAAAGCCCAATAAGGCCCATATACTTCTTCCCCCGTATTCCCGTAACTCCCCGGTACTCCGAAAAATACCCGAATCACTCGCAACCTTTCCGAACTCCGAATATAGTCGTCCAATATATCGATCTTTACGTCTCGACCATTTCGAGACTCCTCGTCATGTCCCTGATCTCATCCAGGACTCCGAACTCCTTCGGTACATCAAAACTTATAAACTCATAATAAAACTGTCATCGAAACCTTAAGCGTGCGGACCCTACGGGTTCGAGAACTATGTAGACATGACCTAGAACTGTTTCCGGTCAATAACCAATAGTGGAACCTGGATGTTCATATTGGCTCCTACATATTCTACGAAGATCTTTATCGGTCAAACCGCATAACAGCATGCGTTGTTCCCTTTGTCATCGGTATGTTACTTGCCCGAGATTCGATCATCGGTATCCAATACCTAGTTCAATCTCGTTACCGGCAAGTCTCTTTACTCGTTACGTAATGCATCATTCCGTAACTAACTCATTAGCTACATTGCTTGCAAGGCTTATAGTGATGTGCATTACCAAGAGGGCCCAGAGATACCTCTCCGACAATTGGAGTGACAAAACCTAATCTCGAAATATGCCAACTCAACATGTACCTTCGGAGACACCTGTAGAGCTCCTTTATAATCACCCAGTTACGTTGTGACGTTTGGTAGCACACAAAGTGTTCCTCCGGTAAACGGGAGTTGCATAATCTCATAGTTACAGGAACTTTGTATAAGTCATGAAGAAAGCAATAGCAACATACTAAATGATCAAGTGCTAGGCTAACGGAATGGGTCAAGTCAATCACATCATTCTCCTAATGATGTGATCCCATTAATCAAATGACAACACATGTCTATGGTTAGGAAACATAACCATCTTTGATTAATGAGCTAGTCAAGTAGAGGCATACTAGTGACATTATGTTTGTCTATGTATTCACACATGTATCATGTTTCCGGTTAATACAATTCTAGCATGAATAATAAACATTTATCATGAAATAAGGAAATAAATAATAACTTTATTATTGCCTCTAGGGCATATTTCCTTCACGTACGTAACAGCAGCAGGAGCAGAGGCACTGGACTTGCTCAGGAACCGGTGACGAGAGGAGGAAGTAGTTCTGGTGCATCTCTCTGAGAGGAGCGACCTCCCTTTCACGGCTCAGCTCATTCCCGCAACCCGCGGCGTGGCGTGGCGTGGCGAGGCGGGCGGCAGAGGAGCGCGCGTAGATGTCCCTCTTGTTCTAATGCTCATACAAGTGGGGAAAGAACCTCCCTTATAAGGAGGTCCAACTCCCACTCAACTAGTAATGTGGGACTAAACATTAGTAGTATCACTTGCCTTGCACAAATGGGTTAAGTGGGCCTTTAGGATTTATTTAGAAATTTCTGAAATAGTTATTGGGCTGTCCTAAAAAAGACTAAATTCCAGCCGTTTCCTTATGATGTTGTTGAGGTCTATCCAAAAAAAGAAATAAGAAAAATGCCTCATATAGATATTGCCTTCATCATCTCGTGCTCAAAGTGGCTCGATCTCGTTACAAGTTGGGCATAAACCCTCTTTTTCAGGTCGACCCTTAACACGGCTTAGTCTTAGCTCCCTCGACTTTTAGTATGAACAGAGCTGAGCCTAATCTAACTCGCTCAGACTCACTTGTTTGCGGCCCTACCGACAAGGTTGGTGCTTCCACTTCGCCCGTTCGTTCGTTACCCAAAGTTTGGTGCCTCAGCCCGTATGTCACCCCCTCTGATCCAGGCAGCCATGCTCACATGGCCGGAAGCGTTGATGACACCCTACCTGGGTACGCGTGCACTACAAGCCCAGCAATTTACACCATACCACCGTAAGGCAGTACAGTGTGCCGCACGACACGATGGAGCTCAAATCCCTCCCGCAGATGCTGTTGGCAAAGCCGTTCTTACCAAAGGAAATGCAGAGGAGATCCTTTGCTATACGAAGTCTAGTTTGAATCCGTTTGAAGACGTGAATGGACGCGTTTTCCGTGGATCAAGAGTCCATGTAGTCAAAGGTCAACTCACTCGTCATCCACAAAACGGACGCTCGAAGCAATAGCCACCACCGTCACCGTAGACCGTGAACATTTTTCTTTGTAGACCACTGTCTCGAGGTAGGAGCATCTCCAGCCGTTGGCCCCTCATGCTGCTCGAAAAATCGTCGCCTGGGGACAAACCGGCGCTAAAATCGGCCTGGGGGCGATCGGTTCCCAGCTGACGCCTCAGGGTCGGCCCCAGGCGCCTGTTTTTAATTTTTTTTGAACATTTATTTGACTAAAATTCGATGAACGGGACAAATATTCAACGAAACAGTGCATTGCCTCGGCGAATTCTTACATAGATAAAAAACTTAGAAAAAACAAAGAGGCCGCACTACAGGCTGAATAACGCGCTGAGAGAGTCGAAGTTGTCGTCGTCGCCGACGCCGCCGTTGTCCTCGTCGTCCTTCTCCTCCTTCATGCGGCCGCCGTGCTGGACCCCTGCCCGGGGTCGCCTTGGCGGACCGGTGGCGCTCGTCGCGGCCACGGCGCCGAGCGGCGAACTGCTCAAAGGCACGACGCTGGCGCTCCAGCTCCGTCCGCGCCCAGTCTTCGCGCGCCCACTTCAAGGCCGTCGCGTCGTCGAGTCCTGGCTCCGCCTTCACGGCGGCAAGCCATGGCTCCGTCTTCACGATGGCGGAGCCCCGACTCCGTCTTCGGTGTGACGAAGCGGGGAGGAGCCGATGACGATGCCGGCGCAGCGGGTGCGCCGGCCGAGCGGCGTCTCCGCGGTCTCGGCCTTGACGCCGAACAACGCTGACGACCCAGAGGAGTGGGAGGAGGAAGAAGAGGAGCCGGGACGCGCCAGACGTCACCGCGCGCGCCGACTACTTCGCCGATGAGGTCAACCACGTGCGGGCGTCGCTGACGGAGGAGCAGCGGGCCCTTCCGTCACCGGCGCTAAGCTTCCACCGCCACGGCGCGCGCATGTCGGGAGGCGCCGGGACGTTAGCCTCGAACAACAGGTACTCGTGCAACGAGCGACGGCCGAAGCCATTGGTCGCCGCCCCATCGCCGGTGAACCTCTCGCCCATCGTCGTGGTTGGGCACGGGGACAGAGCGGAGGAAAGTCCGCGCAGGGGGAGAAATCGGCGGCTGTGGGCGGGGTGCGGCCATAGGCAGGGGGAGGCGCTGCTTCAGCGGCCGAGGTGTGGATGTCGTGTGTACGCGCGGCGGGAGGTGGTGCATCGCCGCGCCCGCGCCACCCGTGAGGAATCAATGGTAGGCTGACCAGCGGCAACCTCGGCATTGATTCCCCGCTGGAAACCGATGCGGTGAGGACAATGAGGCGCGTGGGTTGCTGACCCGGCGGGCCCACCGTTCTTTTGCGCCAAAATCGATTGCCCCGGCGCCCCAGGTTCGCGCCGGGTCCGCCGGCGCCAGTTTCGGCCCAAACCAACAAAAAAACAGGCTTCTGGAGGCGCGACTAGACCGATTTTTGCATGTCGACCGTTGGGGGCGTGGCTGGAGATGCTAAGTCAACAAGGGCTCCTCACCACAAGGTTTGCATGTCGACCGCACACAGCAAAATAAGCACCTGATGCTACACCAGTAGTAAGAAAGTGCCTCTACAGTAGTACTCGCTCCGTAACTTAAAACCAGACGTTTTTAGACACTATGACTGTCAAAAAACGTCTTAATGTATACTCCCTCCATCCCAAATTACTTGTCGCAGAAATGGATGTATCAAGACGTAACTTTTGGTTCTAGATACATCCATTCTGCGACAAGTAATTCGGGGCGGAGGGGGTATTAAGTTACAGAGGTAGTAGTAAACTAGTAGTAACAGCAAGGCACAACAATACTACTGTACTGTAATCCATCATGGAGGGGGTTAACATAACATTCAGCGAAACAGTAGTCAACTTCCACGGCGGAAAACCGAGTCTTCTCACGCAAATACATACCACGGCTCAAGAGTTTACAGTGAATATATGGACGAATCACCTGATTGTGCGTTGCTTGTTTTCATTCATCAGGGATCGAACAGAGCATCTTGAGCAATCAGTTTCAGTTTATTCTTAACAACGAGTGGCGGCTTCAGTCACCGCTGGCACACCCCTTGCACCCGCAGTGGACACATTCTATCACCGTCTCTTCCCTGAGGTGCTTGGGGACCCTGCAGACGCAGGTGGTCGCGAAGTTGTGGTCTCGTGTCTGTATGCAGCGGAGGCAGCAGAGGCGCTCATAACCTGGCTGCAAGAGACAAGAGAAAAAAATAGTTAGCAGTGCGCCATGAGAATGTTGAATTAAAGCAATTGAAGCAGCTGTTACAAGGTAACCTTAGCATTGAAACTTGGTAAACTCTGGTGATTACTATACAAACTAGAGAGAGAACTGAACATGATCCAACATACTGTAAGTCTGTAGCAAATACGAGCAGTTACAACAGCACACCAGTAACAAAAAATCATCATGGGGTACTTGATATTCAGGCAATATGTCCAATTGCACAGGTCAGGAGCAGGGGCACTTCTCTGTCTGAGAGAGAACTGAACATGATCCAACATACTGTAAGTCTGTAGCAAATACTAGCAGTTACAACAGCACACCAGTAACAAAAATTCATCATGGGGTACTTGATATTCAGGCAATATGTCCAATTGCACAGGTCAGGAGCAGGGGCACTTCTCTGTCTGAGTGTGCATTCGTAAGTTGATAAATAATACTTGCATAAAGGCCATGGTGCGCAAAATAGGTGCAAGTTGATATGGTCCGTGTGCAAGGAAGGTGCATCTGAAACGAACTAATCTTAATTACTCCCTCCGAATCCATATTACTTGTCGCAGCTTGAGTACAACGTTAGTACAAAGTTGTACTAAAGTTGCGACAAGTAATAATGGATCGGAGGGAGTATATATTTCATGAGGATGGCTGAAGTTCAGGTGTTTATAGTCTAGCAAAACTGGAACATAATCACATAATCAGAAGTCCCAAGAGACAACAAACTGGAGAAAAGCATCCACCACAGTTAGTACTTGATACAAGCCCAAAATAATGCATGCCTAAAATGATCAAGCCCACCAACCTTTTTCCATTTAGCAATCAGATTTTTGTCTGCATAACCTTGGTCCAAGCAAAACTCATACAGCTCCCTTTTTATCTCCTTCCTTCGATAGTAGAGATCATATATATAACGGCTCTTTTGGTGAGAAATACGGAAGATTGGCCAGAGAGCCTCACACTTCCTCTTCCCATCATGTGTATCGTTCTCGGCTGCATCAAAACATCACATTAATAACATCCTGTAGCAGGAAACAGCAATATACATCTGGAAAAAGATTCAACAAGCATTAAAAATTATACAGATATGCACACCTTCTCTCATTTTGGCTTCCAAATCACGGAGAGTTGGTTCAATAAGCTCCCATCCTTCAGGATACTTCACACGGCTCGTCTTTATCTTAGGCATGCTGCCTCAAGGGAATAAGCTTATTAGAACACGAACCTGTGAGAAACATAGGGCGTAGGTCATTTAAAATGCTTGCAAGGTACTGTAATTAGGTTGCACTTTTCAATTGCAAGTTGCCGTGCATAATAAAGAAACAGCAGAGCAACCCAGTGGTAGAAAGTTTCTCCAAAGAGATGAACAACACAACACATATTGGATAATTGGAATATCCATATTATACAAGCCACCCATGTACTATGACAGTGCCACTGTGCAACCATGCTTATTGGTTCATCTCATCTCAGCGCGCAAGTGCTAGGAAGCAAGAATAGCCTGCACTAGGGAACTATCAGCCTAGTGGGATAATTTCTCCGACGAATTAGCATGCCCTTTCTACTCTCTAATGTGCACAACAACACTTGGCCACTCATCCAGCATCTCGGATGTGGATTGCTGCACTAGTCGATTCAGAGGCAGGCTTATTAACAAGGGGCATCGACTGAAGTACCCAGCCAGGACATCCCCAACGCAGTAAGAATTTTGTTCTTCGAAACTAAACTGCAACTAGTAAAGTAGTAATCCAACACGCAGAAATCTAATCCTTAACAAGCTGGACGAACTGGAGCATCCGTCCTAGAGGAAATTTCTCGGATTAGGTCACCCATGACAATTCGGGCGAGTTAGGGTTCGTCGCCACGGAAGAAATCAATCTCAAGCACTGACGGATCCCCGCTCCACGGCGGTCAAGTAGAGAGGGGGAGGAGGAGGAGAGGGAGCGGTGCGAGAGAAGAATACTCTACCTTCGAGCTGCCGCGCTTCGGTGGAAGGGGGCGGTGTCCGGCGGCGACGGCCCGACGACCAGACGAGGGGGCGGAAAGTTGCGTTGGATCTTGGCAGGAGCGGGCGGTCTAGCGTGGCCGTTGGGGAGGGCAGCCGTTTGCAGCAAGTCCAGCCCAGTCAGTCATCGCAGAGTCGGTATCTTCAAATAGGGGAATTTGAGGATTTGCCACACCTTATTTTGCAATTTGAGGATTTGCCCCCTGTTTTGGTTGTAACCCAGGATTTGCCACACCTTATTTGAAAGATTGAGGATTTGCCCCTAACACGACTGGCCCACAACAACATGACCAAAATGCCCTTGTGTTTGAGGAACCCAGTCCAAACGTTGCTCCGATAACCCTCTCATATCATCCTACCGGCTACCTGTACCTGCGGCGGCGGCTACCGGGCTACGGCGGGGGCGGTGATCTGCGGCGGCTACGACGACGGCGACCTCGATCTCCCCGATGGCGGCGACCTGGTAAGATCCCCTACTACCCTACGTTCTTAGTGACATAAGTAGGTACAGCAGCTATATTTTCTTGTTTTCTGAACTGTCACTTTATTTCTTCCAACACCCGATGTTTCAGCCCATCAATCTTTGATTAATAGCCCCATTTTTAGTCAGGTTGGGAAGGAAAGAGCATGGACCCGCGCAAGAGCTCTGGAAAGGCACAACACGATGCGTCATCAGCAAGCTCGGGGAGGCACGGTAGGTAGCAGCAGCAGCTCGGGAAGGCAGCACACGGTAAGGCCGCAGCAAGCTCGGGAAAGCACAACAGGGTGCAGCAGGAACTCGGGGGAGACTTCCGAGGCTGGTGTAGCCACTGTGAGGTTGCACGCCGGCGACGTTGCGCAGTGGCCAGCCGCCAGGACGAACAGAGTACGGGAACAGCGAGCTAGGGTTCATGCCCGATTGAGGATAACTAAAACAGATTGGGTTGGGGGTATTTTGGTCACAGAATTTGTACTGTAATGTGCCAAATGAACCAAAGAGTACATTAGGGGCAAATCCTCAATCTTTCAGCAAAGATGTGGCAAATCCTGGGTTACAGCCAAAACAGGGGCAAATCCTCAAGGTGCAAAATAAGGTGTGGCAAATCCTCAAATTCCCCCTTCAAATATGTCTATTTTGCCCCAAGAAAACACCTCCAAAACCGATAATTCAATTCGAAACCCGAACTCAGATGAACAGAAAATTTAAAAAATTCAAAAAAAATGATGCAAGATGCTTTTTGCGTGAACTCGGTGCAAAATTTTGTTAAGCTTGGGAGCTCGTGGAAAAAAAGGCAAAATCAGACGTTGACAGTGCATTTTTTATAAGTTTCTCGCTCTTATTAGCGTCATGTCTCTATATTCATTTTACCAAAAAAGGGTATTTGTTTGATAAATTTTAGTTTTTTGTATTTTCATTTCTCACCCGAACTAACACAAAGCTTTATATGCCACCTACTCACAAAAGCGACAATTGCATGGATGGCGCAAGAAGCATCATGATTACCGACAAGGTTTGTCAAAGCAATGGAGTGACAATATGTCGGCGCTTTTCCTGCAATATCCCCTCCTTCAGGTTGCAAAAGTTTTTTTTTTTCAAAATGGCGGCTAGGGCATACACCTCCCCTTCAAGCACGACCGGCGAGTCTGTGGATTCACCTCCCCTTTATCTATCGTTTTGGTGGCCGGTTATAGGGCAGAGAATCCCAGTGCTTCTATTTTGGCTACTAGTTTCCTCGCGGGACGGGATTCAGGAGGGTGGTGGTGCTTCTTCTTCGAGTTGGTCTTCAGAGCTCCAATCCTCCTCGAGGTGGTCTATTTGGATGTATTCAACGAAGTTCTAGTGTAGATTCTTGATGTCTCATTGGGGCGGCGAGGTTAGGATTTCTCTTTGTACATGTGCAATGGCGAGATCTGGTGTCAGACACTTTGGATTGATTCAAGATTCAAAGCGAACGATTGTGGCTCATTGGTCCCTAGGGGCACATGCACGAAGGCTTTCCTAGTGTCCTCAATAACGACACGGCAGTTCGTAGACACGGTGGTTGCTCGTTATGATGACGGTAATAGTCATTCGATGCTCTAGGATCCTTGATATAACTTTTTATTATGTTTGGGGTGCTTTATACTTCTTGTGAACTTTTATAACATATTAGAGCAGCATGTCGGGTGGCATGAAAGAGCAAAACATCATGAGGGCATCATGCTATGAAAAAACCTGGCCCATTGGTTGCTCATCTACCTGTGTTGCATAAGAGTGGTTGCTACATCTATTTGTGTCGCATTGTAGTGAAGCGTGTGACATGATCATCATGAAGGAAATATGCCCTAGAGGCAATAATAAAGTGATTATTTATTTCCTTATTTCATGATAAATGTTTATTATTCATGCTAGAATTGTATTAGCCGGAAACTTAGTACATGTGTGAATACATAGACAAAACATATTGTCCCTGGTATGCCTCTACTTGACTAGCTCGTTAATCAAAGATGATTATGTTTCCTAACCATATACATGTGGTGTCATTTGATGAACGGGATCACATCATTAGGAGAATGATGTGATGGACATGACCCATCCGTTAGCTTAGATTATGATCGTTACAGTTTCATTGCTACTGCTTTCTTCATGACTTATACATGTTCCTCAGACTATGAGATTATGCAACTCCTGAATATCTAAGGAACACTTTGTGTGCTACCAAATGTCACAACGTAAAAGGGTGATTATAAAGGTGCTCTACAGGTGTCTCCGAAGGTGTTTGTTGGGTTGGCATAGATCAAGATTAGGATTTGTCACTCCGTGTTTCGGAGAGGTATCTCTGGGCCCTCTCGGTAATGCTCATCACTATAAGCCTTGCAAAGCACTGTAACTAATGAGTTAGTTGCGGGATGAAGTATTACGGAACGAGTAAAGAGACTTGCCGGTAACGAGATTGAACTAGGTATGATGATACTGACGATCGAATCTCGGGCAAGTAACATACCGATGACAAAGGGAACAACGTATGTTGTTATGCGGTTTGACCGATAAAGATCTTCGTAGAATATGTAGGAACCAATATGAGCATACAGGTTCCGCTATTGGTTATTTACCGGAGATGAGTCTCGGTCATGTCTACATAGTTCTCGAACCCATAGGGTCCGCACGCTTAACGTTCGATGACGATATGTATTATGAGTTATGTGTTTTTGATGACCGAAGTTTGTTCGGAGTCCCGGATAAGATCACTGACGTGACAAGGAGTCTCGAAATGGTCGAGACATAAAGATTGATATATTGGACGGCTATATTCGGACACCGAAAGTGTTCCAGAGAAGTTTTGAATAAAACCGGAGTGCCGGAGGGTTATCGGAACCCCCCCCCCCCCCGGGGGAACTAATGGGCCACATGGGCCTTAGTGGAGAAAGAGAAGGGCGGCCAGGGCAGGCCGCGCCCCCCTTCCCCCTGGGTCCAAATTGGACTAGGAGGGGGGCGGCGGCCCCCTTTCCTTCTCCCTCTCCCTCTCCTTCCTTCCCCCTCTTCCCCTCTTGGTGGAATCCTACTAGGACTAGGAGGGCCCTCTTGGTGGAATCCCTTATTGGGGCGCGCCCTAGGAGGGTCGGCCAGCCTCCCCTTGCTCCTTTATATACGGGGGCAGTGGGGACCCTAGAACACACAAGTTTCTCTCCCAACCGTATGCGGTGCCCCCTCCATAGTTACACACCTTGATCATACCATCGTAGTGCTTAGGTGTAGGACCTTGAAGTATGTCTAGAGGGGGGTGATTAGACTACTTGACCAATTAAAAACTTAACTTTTTCCCAATTTTAGAGTTTGGCAGATTTTAGCTATATTTGGACAAGTCAAGCAATCATCACACAATTCAAGCAAGCATGCAAAGAGTATATAGCAGCGGAAATTAATGCATTAAACTTGCAAGAAAGTAAGGGGAAGGGTTTGGAGGATTCAAACGCAGTTGGAGACACGGATGTTTTTGTCGTGGTTCCGATAGGTGGTGCTATCGTACATCCACGTTGATGGAGACTTCAACCCACGAAGGGTAACGGCTGCGCGAGTCCATGGAGGGCTCCACCCAAGAAGGGTCCATGAAGAAGCAACCTTGTCTATCCCACCATGGCCGTCGCCCACGAAGGACTTGCCTCACTAGCGGTAGATCTTCACGAAGTAGGCGATCTCCTTGCCCTTACAAACTCCTTGGTTCAAC